TTATTGATAAAACTGCTCACTTCAATGACAAGAACAAGTACACTTCTCGTCGTGCCAAATATTTCCAGCGTTAAGATGAAAGAGATGCGAGACTCATATACAGGCGTTGGAAGCAAATTATCAAACGAACATGTAAATGTAAAATTGAGTAAACGTCTGGGAAGAGCTTCATTTGAACCTTTACAAGGAAAACATACAAAATGAGTCAACTATCCTTTCACATCTCCTGAAAAAGAATATTGAACGGTTGAGAGTTATAGGTCTGTTTGTTGCGCATTATTTTGCATTCTTGAAATCAAAAAGAAGAAAAAGCAGTGGAAAAATAAAGGGGAAAAAAGAAGGCGTCAACGTAGTTCCCCGTAGTAACAGTCATAGGACTCAGAAATTCGTTCTTAACATGTTATAATACATCATAAACATGTTCTAATAACCAGTTAAACGATTAATCTTGTCAGAATAACGCGTCCTAACATAGTTAAGATGCGTTACGTCCAGGTCAGCGATTCCCCAGCACGGTGGGGGGGGTCGTATTGCTCCTTGGAAGAGCGGGGGGGGGCGTACTTGCTAGCTGGTTGGGAGAGAGCTCGTATTTCCTTCTGATCTTCTCTAAGAGGTTGCTGACTTATCGGGTTCCTGTTTCACATGTACATTTACTAACCTCCTCCCCGCTCGACAGCAAAAATTTTGACCCTAGGGTGGAGACCAAAAACAAGGAAAATTCTCGGGAAATTCGGTGGAGACAACTGGTAGAAAGTGGTGGAGTCTAGGAAAGCGATTGAGAAAGGGAGAGGTCGTACGGATTCGACCAAAATCCCAATTAACCGATGTGCCAGCGTGCTGCACCATCAGCGATAACCTCCGTTGCATTATGACCATTGCTGCGGAAGGCGATAGCCCAAGGAAGCCGTAACGAAGTCTGAGAGAAGCTATTCCAGAAGTTCGTAAGGTTAATCTGAAACAAAATAATCTTTGCAGGTCAGGTCAAAAACGAGGAAGTGGAGGAATGTCGAATAACACATCCCAAATAACAGCGTGGCGCTTGGAACAGATAGTACAGATGGTCGTGTAGCCAGCATCAATAGCCAGTGCCACTCCTAGTTGCCACTGCGAGTAATGTCCAGACCATGGTTGGGGATTTAGTCTTCGAGTCCGTACGAGCCCAATCTCCCCCCCTTTTTTTTTGAGGAATTGATACGACCCCCTCCCTCTCCGGCGGCCCTCTGTCCCTCCTCATCGAATCGAGCCGTCGAGCGGAGGGGGAGGGTTATCTAGTACACATGAAACAAAAATCACGAAAGTTCCAATCGTCTCTCCAGAGGCCAGAGAGTAAACAGAAGATAAATACGACCTCCCCCCCTAACGAGCAAGTACGACCCCCCCCCCCCCACTTTACAAAGTCCGTGAAGCGAGAAAAATCAACAATCGAAATAAATTTTTCTTAGCCCAACTACGACCCGACCCCCCCCCTGTCCCGGCGACCAAATACGACTCCCTGTTGCGGATTCCCCAAGATGTGCCCATGTAATGTCTGCTCAAGCTAGTCCCTGAGACCAACCCATTCATAGGTTTTCCATGTAGCCAGATTTCCGTCAACATCTGTTGTTATTGTCTTGTTCGCTACGGGTGATGAGGCGTATCAGGGGACTAGGTCTGGCACGAGCAGCACACTCTCCATGAACGGTTGTCACTGTCCCCTCTCTGACAACTGGAGGAGAACGATTCGGCGTTACGATGGAAAGCGTGCAGTTCTAAGTAGTACTGCTTGATTGGTCTGGTGAATGCTACTGCATATTCAGATACTTGTTCAGTACAAATTGCACACAAGGCTACCTCCTGATGAACAGAACAGGTACTTCCACGCTCTTCACAGTCACTGAGGGGTAGGGTCGTACGGACGCCCTTTTCGAGGGAGGGGTGGCTAAAGAACCACCCCCACCCCCCTACAATTTTCCGCGACGTTATGCTTGGCCCTGGCTGGATTTTTAGCATAGAAAAAGGGGTGGTTTCTGGCCTCGAGATGAATTTTTTCCTATTGCCATTCCGGCTCTCGATGAACCTCGGCAAAATCGTATTAGAATATTTATTTGCTTTCGAGCTTCGTACGGGGTTGGTATGCACAGTGAACGGCTAATGTTTCGGCACGATTCCCTTCTTCGGAGCCTTTGAGATCACGAGATCAGCCCGTGTTCGACGATATGGTGGTTTGTCGCCCGTAATCGCATCCCCGGCATAATCGTAGAATATTTATTTGCTTTCGAACTTCACACCAGGTTGGTATACACAGTGAACGGCTGACGTTTCGGCACGATTGCCTTCTTCGGAGCCTTTGAGATCACGAGATCAGCCCGCGTTCGACAATATGGTGGTTTGTCACCCGTGATCGCATCAGAGGAAACGGTAGAGAACGAGCGTCACTAGGAGAAGAATATTTCTCCTGAAGAACGGTACAGCATACTGCCTGGGGCCTAAATTAGAGTCCATATCGGAGGCGGAGGTGGTGTAGTGGCAAGCGGTCTGCTTCCTCCGGGCCGGTCAGGAAGTCGAATCTTGGATCGGCTCTAGCCCAAGCCAACCAAGCTCGATCCTTAAGTTGGTAGCAGAATCGCCTGGGAATATACTTATTGGCAGGGCCACGCAAGTCATTGTATAGTCCACATAGCCTTCAATGAGCCGAGCAAGAAGAGACCTCGTCAGGTATAGTCAAGTTCGCTGCAGTCGAGGGAGGTGGGTCAGACGCTTCAGCAAGTGGTGGAGAAAGGGTTTGGCGCGGTGCAAAACACTTTCTCCACCAATTGCTCAAGCCAAGCGAGCAAGTTACAAGAATGATAATATCGTTAGTATCACTCGTTTTCTACCATCTATTGTCGCTTACTCACTTCAACAAGTGGTAGAACACGGGAATGGCGGCACGCCAAAGCTATCCCGCCGGACACGCCCCTTCATCTGCAGTGAAGCGCACCATAGCGCGGCGACATCTACGTATTCCCGTGCCAACTCTCACATAGTTGATATCGTCACAATCAGTCGAGACGCTGTCAGACGAAATAGAATGAGCCCGCTTACGGCTGTTGTGCTCCAGTGGTATATGATCAATCAACGAAGAAAACAAGTAGTGGTACGAAAAGCCGCGAGTGGGCTCATTTTATACTTCATGAGAGCGCCCCGACTGATCGCGAAGATATCAACTGCACACTCAACTCTGCATCTATTTCGACTGCAGTCTCACAACTTTCACCAGTATAGTAACTATGAATTTCGCAACGTTCCCTTTGCCTCAGATATGGTGTACTTACTATTGTGCCAGAGAATGGGTATTTGTAACTCCGGTTGTTTCCCCTGTGCTCTACCAGGTTCTATTATTTTTCAACCATTTCGACTCCAATTCAAACAATATACGGGGATGGGCAAAAAAATGGCACTTTTCTTCCTCGAATTTCAAGGCAATATAAGTTACACTTTACCAATTCTTATTGGAGATTTCCACCACCATGTTCAAAAACATAACATACGTCATTTCTTTACGCTTGGAACAATTCCCTTCTACCAAAAGTTATGTAAAAAACATCCAATGCCATTATCCACTAAAGCATTTAGAACTTATTTGAATTTGTGTTTGAGCCAGCAAATCCTTTGACCTTGGGTGAACCACTTATTATTCCCTCAATTGTATTCTTCTCGCATGCTCCTTTCTTCATATTATATCTTTTATTATTAGCTCGAAATGCGGACAAGTTTTTGAATCACGTTATAATGCTGTTGTTGTGGACATTTCGCACGAGTTCCATCGTGTAATAAATATATAATATTGAGCATCATCGCGATACTCCGCCACAGCCTTCTAGACGAGCCGCATCGAAAGATTCGGTGCGCCACGCGACCGTGATTCGGTGCCTGAGTTCAGCGAGGTCATTGATTTCTCCGCCGCTGTAGACGACCTTGTTGAGCTCCGCCAGAACCCGGTAATCGAGGGCCTTAAGGCAGGTGGCACATTTGAAAATTCCGTCTTCTTCTCAACGTCCTTGGATCCCAAGTAGGCGAAACTTTTTCCATTGCCCTTCGATTACATGTGCTGGCACCCAATCCTGTAGAAGGATGAAGTTTCCAAGATGGTACAGGCGACGAAATGCAGGCAGATATTCTCCTCTATTTAGTCATGTAACCGTCAGCATTCACCTTCAGTCCGGGAAAAGAAAATATCGGTTTTCTCATTCCAGAAACTTCTGGCCCATACAATCAACCCGAGCAGTGAATACGACCGTAGCGACGTTGTTGGAGCTGCTCGATATTGGAGGTGTACCAGACCAAGAGTGCCGTTCTCCAGGTCCAGGTCCAGGTTCATGGGTGACTCCATACAAGAAGTTTCCCAGCTGTTTGGAGGGGACGCGAATTCCATCGGCCTTCTCCAATCAGGCTACGATTGGGCATGGCTTCATGTTTTGGTGTACATGAAGGTGGTGGACGAGGGCCTGCTCCTGCTTATCCAAGAACATCTTGGGTATCTTACGCCCTGTTACTCGTATCCACTTCTTGTGTCTGGGCTGCGTAAACTTTACTGATATGTGACTCGACCAAAGTGTTTTTTTGCCCCCCCCCCCTGTATAGTTTGTAACATCGCAATCAGTCGAGGACGGCGTGACGGATGTGCGATGATCCCGCCTACAGCTGTCATGCTTTACGAATGGTGTTCGAGTAGTGATCGATTTAGGAAGGAAACAACCAGGTGGCTGATCGCGGCCCGACTAACTACAGTGATAACTGTAAGCTAGTCTTGCAGCGATTGCATGTTTGCTAATAAATCAGCCAGTTATTCTCAGAGCATAGATCTGCTTATCTCAGTGGAATCCGTTACAGTCTTTACGAAAATGTCATCAAATTGTATTCGCAGCAATACGTCGGTTTTTTTTCTTCGTGTGATGCGACTCATGAAACACACCCGTTGGACGTGAAAGGCCTCTCAAATGCTCTACGCTACTCCGCCTCCCCCCCCCGCCTAAGTGAAAATGGATTCCTCGTCCAGTAACCATTCACAGCGCTTTTTCAGGGTAAGAAAAGGGTATGGAATGTTCGCCTGACTTATGAAACTAAACTGCAAAAATTTAATATTCGTCTTGACGAAAAGCAGGCACAGCGTGTGCGCAGAGGACCCGAACCTTGGTGCGTCTTCTGTGAGCCTGTCACCTACCAGATGTTCCATCGAGCAAGGAACAAGGGGAAGGCTTGGATTTTGTACCAGAATTGTTAAGGGCACGGTCCGCGGTGTGGTATAGAAGTCGAGAATTTGGCGTCGAGAGAGTACTGTGGTCTGCGACGAAACCTTGTATCGGTGACGCGGCAAAAAAAACTGTATTAGGAGGGCGCTATAGCGCAATATAGGTTCAGTGACGCCTCCTTCTCTCCAGTGACTCCGCCTCCAGACTTCGCCTTCAAGGCCCGCTTTCAGTGAAAAACGAAGCTGCACGACGAAAAAGCATGAAAATAGTCAATTGTACGGTCGTAGAAGGGTGTAGTGTTGAAGGTAGAAACAAGTGGGCACGTACAAAGTGGGATCCGAGAAAGTGCTTTTATTCCTCGCTATCGAGTTAGGCAGCGTTCAGACTTGTAGCGCTACGTAGCACCTTACACAGCACCTTGTCGTCTATATGCAAACCCGTAATCCATTATCTGTGATGGCGAATCATCGCGAGCTTTGCCTTTTAGCAAATGTGGAGGTCAGGTCAGATCTGTATGGCTGCATTCACACTTTGCGGCAGCGAGCACGTGTGAGTGTACCAGCGACCATTAGCGTTTCAAGCGCCCGTCAGAGACAGCGACTAAAAAAGTGTAGAGATCGACCCAGCGAATAGTAGCGTCTGCCATCGTCTCCCAGCGTCCATCAACGTCCCCCAGCGACCATAAGCGTCCCGAAGGACTAGGAAAAAAATGGATATCAGTCTAGCGCCCATCGGCGACCACTCGTATCCACCAGCGGCCAGCAGCGACCAAGAGTACGGTACTGTGTAGTAGTACGGTGTGTTTGCACCGCCAGAAGTTACGTCGCCTAATCCAGCTGTCTCCTTTCTCCTACTTCCCCACGCTCTACCAGCAATCTGCTACCTCCCTAATTCAGGTAATTCGATACTTATTTTATATAACTTATACTTCCATTACTATTGGCATTTACAGAAGGCCTGTGAAGCTGGGCTGCACAGCATTGTCGCTGATGGTATGCACACATTACACCCTAAATCACTAGGATACTATGCCCAGCTTTATTGCGTGCATGGCGTGTGTGCTGAGGGAGTCGAGATCCCGCTGCTTTACTGCATCACCTCAAAAAAAAAACTGAAGCGACTGAAGATATTCGATGAGCTGAAGGCCAACATCGGTGATGTGCCCCATCGTATAATTCTCGATTTTGAGAAAGCGGCCGTTACAGCTGCTCGCAAAACCTTTCCGAGGGCCTCAGTGGAAGGCTGTGCTTTCCACCTCGCTCAAGCGTGGAATTGCAAAAGGGATCAGCTCGGCCTGAGGAAGTACATGCAAGGATTACGGAAAAGATGAACGCGTTGCTGAATGGTGGAGGCAAATAATCAAAGGTGAACTTCCATGAGATTCCGTAACTTCCTCTGTTTTGAAAGATGCGTTTGTTCAGGTGTTGTGTTTCTCCCCCCGTTCATTACTGCCGCAAGTTGGGGCTCTTCGAAGACCGCCGGTTCCCGGTGGGAGTGGTCCATGAAAAATGTGCAGAATTTTCTCAGCTATCTTTCTACAAACTGGCTCGCGAGGCCCTTTTAAGGATATGTGGTGCAAATGGAAAGTGGAGGGAACTGCGCACCACGAACTTGGCCGAAGCTTTTCATAGGTAATGGCTGGACGCACAACCACGGAGAACCTATCTAAAAAAACCTTTTCCAGACGGCTCGGTATCCTCATGGAGTACACCATCCTCCGTTGAGTTTGCCTTATCGAAGGTCTTCGAAAACCATCAATTATGAAGCGCGCGCAAACCCTCAAACGCCTTGAAGAGGTTGGAAATTTATCATCCCTTACACTGGTCACTCTTTTTTTCCACAGTGTTTCCCTCAATTTTTGTTCAGGATCCAACCCATGCCAGAATGCTGGCAAGGCGTGATCAAGAAAGAAGGATCGCAATAGCCGAAGAAATGAGAAGGTGAAAGTTCGAGCCTTAGCAAAATGAAGCACTTGCCAAATCAGCAATATACATGCCCAATGTCGTCCTTGTTTCAGGTTTGAGAATGGTTATCAAGCGGGCCTAGTCAAGAGGCAGGTGGGGAGGCAGTTCTGCAGAAGGATGGCACAATATGTCACCAATAAGACTAAGATGATTTTTGAGACGTAAAAAGTTTTCCTTTTGATCCGTTCTATGTGCATTGTTTAAGAATTAATAAATAATAATAATAATAATAATAATAATAATTATCAGTATATAATAATTAATGTTAAGTTCAGTAGTTGTTAATATAACGATAATTACTGATAATATTAAGACGGTAATAAAGTGTTTCCATTTAATCGTTCAACTCGATATTGTTTCGCATTACGAAGCCGCTGAGGTCAGCAGTCGCCTCATGCAACTTTATGAGGTCACACCCCAGGGCATAATTAAAAGGCGCGAGATAGGCTCCGCCCTATTTCTAGACAGTAATACTTACCGTATACCCGCCGCAACAATATCTGCATACCCCCAGACAGGGCTGGAAGTCACTTACCCAGGAGTGATTTCTATGTGGTAGTTACTACTGATGGTAACGATTTCAATTTTTCTATTAGAAGGAGTGATGAGGGGGGGGGGGTGTCAAGATGCAGTCGCTTCGTAGAGTTCCCTAAAAAGCTAACATACTAGGATAGCCTATTTTAGTTTAATGAAATGTTGAGGTTTCCTCCCTGAAAAAAAAGCTCACCTTAATGCAGGTTCTTTTCCCTGCACGTGAGGGACCATGGACGAGAAGATGAGGGATCTCATCAGACTTTACAAGTTCGGCCAAAGCACAAGCCTAAACAGATTTGGATATGATACTGACATCTGGAAGTCTCACACAAGCATTTTGAGTACCTGTTCCAAGTGACAGAAAACTCGCTCAATTTCTTCGGGCGATATCTGTCCACCCACAATGATATTGCTACAGCTGGTAACTGGTAATGGTAACCAAGCGGTAATTCATATAAGAACTACGTAGGAGCAAAATTAGAGGTAAACCGGGTAACATACCCTTCAATTATGCACATGGGAAGATCAAACAATTCTTATGATCATAAACACATTCGAGTACAAACATAGTGGTTATAATAAACATTTGAGCGAGATCGCCCATTCGAGGTGAGTGACGTTACTTCTAGCTAAAGGGGCAAAGATGCCATTTTTGATGGCCAATAAAATATAGAAAGGCGAAAAATAGGGTCTAAAAGTAACATGGTTTACACACTGGCGTTCTGAACAAGGTCGAAGTAACAAAAGTATGTATGTGGACACCTCAAATTTTTGCTGTGCGAAATTGCCTTTGGATTTTGCGATATGAGACCTTTGGTGAATTCCTCATGAGCGAAAACATAGGAATACACTACTTCTGAGCACTTTGTGAACCACTGTACAATTATTTATTGTTTTGAAAAAGTTTCTTAATAACAAAAGTATGTGGATACTTAACAAAAAACAAAAGTATGAAAATTAGAAGTTGGTGTTTCCTCCAGCGTTCACTATTACTTCGAACATACTGTCTGGCATGCTGTGGACAAGATTTGCGATGGTATCTTCGTTGATTTCCACCCATGCAACAACTACCGCCTCCTTCAAGTCTCGCACGCTGCTGTACTGCCCACTGTTCATGTAGATTCGTCGAACAATGCTTCCCCACAGGATTTCGGTTGGGTTGCAGTCAGGAGAACACGCCGGCCAATCCATTACTTTGATATCATTTTGTTGAAGCCGTCTTCTAGTAGAATTCGAAACATGCACGGCGGCGTTGTCCTGCTGCAGCACACGTGTCTGGCCCACTCAGAAAAGGCAAGAAGTTACACTCAAGCACTCACTGGTATTCTTGACTATTCATACGACACATTGAGAAGACAAGCTCTAGCTTTCCGCTGCTTCCGAGACCACCTCATACCATGAAAGAGCCGTCTCCTAAATTTCGCCACGAGAACACCAACGGATCCCTACAAAGGTCTCTCCAGTAATGTCGATATCCATCTGGACCGTCGAGATTGAACTTTTTCTCAACAGTGAAGATAATCAGAGAAAGAAATGCGCATAAAACAATCTTTCTAATTTTAGAAACTTTTCAAAAACTTTTTTCTCAAAAAAAAACTCAAACTTCATCGCAACATGGATCTGTGCCACAGAGAAGGGGGAATTTGAGGCAGTACGCGCTATTCTTCTGATATCTTCGCGGACGAAGATCCTGGGCGCCCCGGAATAGGTGCTGAATAGTAGCGGTCAGGATACTGGAGGTATTTACCAACGCACGTCGGCGACGTCCGAGCTGTCTTATCTCTTTACTCGAGGGTCCAGCACCAGCGAGAGCTCGGATCTGAGTTTGTTCGTCTTTGGACCTATTCCGGGGCGCCCAGGATCTTCGTCCGCAGAAGATATCAGAAGAATAGCGCGTACTGCCTCAAACTCCCCTCTCTGTCTCCTGTCTGACTCAGAGTACTAACACGACGCATGAATAAAATTCAATGGGAGGTAGAGGCGATAAAAATGGATTGCAGATTTGGAGCCAAACTTTGGACTTTCTTAGGTGTCCACATACTTTTGGTACAAACAAGGAAATCCTATTCAGAAATATTTTTCGAAAAAGAAGCTTCGTTATTGCTCGAGTAGTCAGTTAAGGGGTTATCGACCACGAGGAATCGATTGAGGGAGGATCCAGATCGAGAAAGTCTTTTCCACACTTTAAAACTAGATTTTGAGGTGTCCACATACTCTTGTTACGCACTGTATCACAACGCTCCTGCTTTATCGAAAACTTCGTGATGGCTCTCCTTTTTCAACAAGGTAACTTGCATTATTGATTTTTCCTCTCCATTCTCATCCTTGTCCATTTCGTACTCGACGCGGACATTGTACGTATTCGCCATCATAAGACAGGCAAGAAAATATCGGCTAACTTCGTATTTTTTCCGACCGACCAACAGCTGAAAACTAATATTTGAGGTTATTAGGACTACAGTCAACTGGGGCAAAGAGGCACAGAAGTAACGAGTGTTGGACATCAAGTCTATGTTGCGGCGACGCGGGGAATAAGCCCTGTATTTCCTAACTGGTTTACTCGACGTACTAAAGCCTGAACTTGAGCGCGCAAAAACACATCTTGCGAGCGCAAGATGTGTTTTGTCTTGCTCAGCTGTTTGATTTTTTGATGTCTAAGGGACGTATTACAGGATTTATGAAGAAAAATGTTGCCGAAAAAACTGTCCTTACTGCACCGAACATAAGGTCTGCCATTTAAGAGGAACAATTTGGTCACATGTGAAGGATGTGGTCAGAAGTACCTTAGTGGAAGCATGCGACCACTGTATAAGCGATTGGACGAACATGTGCGAGCCCTGCGAAACCCTCTTTCTTACCCCAGGGGTGCTTTTCGGGGCATCGCACATTTTTGCATTGACAAGGACCACCACCGTCTCTTAAGCCACTGCTATGCTCTCGAGGGAAGCCCCATTAGAGAGGAAACTGCTTGAGGCCCTCACCATCGAGCGGCTATCCCCAGAAATCAACAGTAGGGATGAGCTTTTATCGTACAGTGAGATAGTGATAATATAACCACGATTTTTGACAATGAATTGAAGAATGGCATAAAACATCCGCTTCCGGAGCATTTTGCATTAGTGGGCATTCAGCATGACCAAAATAGGATACATGCAATTGTATAGCAATACATACAAATATGTTATAATAGGTAAGTCTATCGAGACCTGTCGGATCATGCATTCTGAATGTGCTTCCATCGAAACGATATCGTTTATTATTCAGAATACGAATGATATAGCGATACAAAAACAGGCAATATAAAACAAGCAGATGCTTCGTCACATACATTGAGCAGTTTTCGAATCTTCTTCTCAATACTATGCTATTTCCAAGCAAAAGATCCTTCGCAGTTTGTTGTAGTGCTGACGCCACCAATCATTTCTTTACAGTTTTATTCGGTTGACAGCAAGATTCCATGTTTCAGGGCCTCTAGCTAGGCCAGCACTTTTTCAAATCCTTTGACATTGATCGATCGCTTCCAAAAGCCCATACCCATTCTGTATCCACTCAGAATAGCACTGCCTGTTGAATGATAGTATATGACTTATACAACGCTTCATATGCACAGGGGTAGGGGCACAAAAAGACTCCTTTTCGACTTCCAAGTTGAAATAAGATACACTTCATTGAATTCTGATTGGACATTTCCAACATCGAATTACACAATGCACACTATCACGAAACTCCGCTGCAGCCTTCTAGGCGAAGGGCACCGAAAGATTCTGCCTTCGGTGCTTGAGTTCAACCAGATCGTTGATCTTCCGCCACTGTACACCACCCTGTTGAGCTCCTCTCGGACACGGCAATCGAGGGGGTTCAGGTCAGGTGACACTTGCATAAACTCAGCGTCCTTCCATTCCAAGTAGACGAGAGTTTTTTGATTTTATGTCCCACCCAATCCAGTACGAAGTGCTAATTTTTTAAGGCGGTACAGGCGACGACATGAAGGCAGGACATTCCTCACGACTGTTGTCAACGTACACTCTCAGTACGGAGTCCATGAGGGAAATATCGGTCTTCTCATCCCAGAAACTGCCGACCATGCCATTATTCCGTGCCGCGGCAAGTGCAGGAAGGGTAATATCGGATCATAGCGTCCTTGCCGGAGGTGCTCGATGTTGGAGGTCTTCCAGACTGAAGCGCCGCTCCTCAGGTAGCTGCATTCAAGAAGTTTAGCAGCTGTTCCGAGGTGATGTGCATTCCATACGCCTTCTATAGTTCGCACTGCAAGTGCAGATGGCTTTATATTTTGGGGTACATGAAGGTGATGGACGGGAGCCTGCTTCTGCTTATCGAGGAACATCTTGTGTATCTTCCGCCCTGGTTCACGTATCCAAGTCTTCAGTGCGTCTTCAGACTGCGAAAACTTTACTGATACGCGTCTTGGCCAGAGTATCCGTTTTACCCTCCGTCTGTGAATTTAGTATGAGGAAGGGACACAAAACCAAGCCGTACATTTACCGGCGAGTTCGGTCTGTTCCATGTGCTGGTACAACGATCCGCAGCTGTAAAAAAAGTGCCACTTTCGTCATTCGAAAAAGCAAAATTATTGTGTGAAGTGTAGCGAGAGGTGAACAGTGTCAAGCATTACGTAACGCGTTGAGTGAATTTAGCTCGTCTATACGACCCACCACACCTGCAGAAGGGCGCCAATACGACCACCCGCTCCTCTCACTAAATGAAGAGAGTAACAAAGCAACAATGACTACTCTAAAAGGAGAGACTTGCTTCTCCAGCTGCGTTGCATGTTGGTATTGGAGTGCGCTATACCACCGGCAATCACCTCGGAACTTTCAGAATGGTTGTAACTTTCTTCAGAACGGAGCGATTCGTGGTTTTACGGAAGCATCCACTTGACGGGTGCCAAACTAGTCCCGAAGGGTTTCTAACAAGTTCGCAACAAAACTAACTTGAGGACGCGAAATTCAATTTTTCAAGGATAACCACTCGGTAATACAGAGCAAAAAAGAAAAGTGCTGGGAAGAAGGCAATTTCACCTTTTCATAAACCGCAAAACCAACTGCAATTGTTCAGTATTCCAGTAAATCCGATGCTTATGATTTTTTTTGGCGAAAATTCCGTGTCATTGCAAGTTTTGAACGTTTCAGCGACCATTACCCCGGTGGTCGCCCAGTGGCTTTATGCAGAAGTAGGTACCTCAGGCCGTCCCGAGATCAGCGACGGTGATGGATGATTTCATACTCTTGCGACGATGGAGGGAACGATGAAAGGCTGATCTCTTCGCAAAGAGGAAAGTTCGAGGAACAGTTCATTCACATTCTTCTATGTACCCTGAGACTGCGCTTCGCAAGGTTAGGTAGCGTGCACCATCAACACAGTGGCGCTCTCTTTTCCCCTCGTACGTAATCAATGTTGAGCTGCAACTAGCCGTGTAGAGAGTGCAGGTTGGGACACCACATTGGATCACCGCAGCGAATTTTAGCGCCTTCGATTACTGGCAAGTTGGACGAGATTC